AAAGGTCACTTATATCACCGAGCCGATGTAGGCACGCAGCTGGAGGAAAAAAGTCCTTGTGGGTGTTGTTTCCTGCAAGTTGTAGAGACCGCAGCTTGAGTGCAGGCGGTGGGTTTGGTTCTGGGTGTCGTGGCCCCAAGCCCCTCACTGGGCTGAACGTGCTTTTTTTCCCCCCTTAACTCTCCCCACTATTATTAATTTTTTTTTATTATTATTATTAGTTGTAGCAATAGTATTGTTTTTGCTGCTTAAATGCATCAAATGGAGCTGGAGGAAAGCACAAGAGGTGGCCAGAACGAGGTGATGTTGGAGTGCGGTTTGCAGCGTCTGCCTGATTCAGGCAGGCCAGGCTGGGCCGAGGCGGGGTGGCTGGCGGGGCCCTCCGCCATTTCTGCCACGTAGCAGCCAGGGAAGCTTCGTGGGAGCGAGTCTCTGCAGCTTTACTTGCTCCTGCTGCTGCAAAACTCACCAGGAGCCAGGACAGCTCTGTGGTGCTCTCCTTAACAAGAGAACGCTTGTTACTCAGAAAAGAAGTCCTTCTCTTCTGCTTTCCCTCCCTGCCGCTGCCTTGTTATTGCTCAGCAATGGGACCCTTCAAGGTTTTGAGCCGTCAGGAGCAACGTGGTCTCCAGCCGAGAGGTACAACAGGGAGGAGCAAAGCAGGGAGCCCTTTAGCTCACGGGGTCAGGAGACAGCATCCTTACTGCTCCCAGGCTCATGACTGCCTGGGGGCTGGCTGGGGCAAAGGGGCTGTGGCTAGAATTGTATCCTACCCTTTTAAAAAAAAAAAAAAAAAAAACCCCCCAAAAAAAAAAAAAAAAGCCCTCAAAAAAAAAAAAGAAACACTGTTAGCTCTGTAATTGTGGGCTGACTTCGCTCTAGTCTAAACCCTTCTGAACTGATGGAAGTCTACAGGGACAATGAATTTGCTTCAGTCAGTAATTTGAAAGGGGTGTGGGGAAGGGAGAAGGTGGGGAGAATTAGTTCCTTGCTCCTGGTGCCCTTAACATGTTGAGAGACATTCCCTGTGGTAGAGAAGCGTGCTGTGACATGCTGCAATATTTCACATCCTCTCAGCAGAGAAGCAGGGTTTGACATCAAGGGTTCTTTTCAAATTTCAAGTGATTTGGGTCCAGAATCTGGAATTAGGGTGGAAGCTGAGGAGCAGTAACCAAACAGTCCTGGTGTTTGCCCAGTCACTTTAAAGGTAGATTGGCAAATATCTCTGGGTGCCTTAAATCTTTCTTTAATATACATAGGAGTATTGACAGCTATTTGCAGGTTGGTTTTGTTTTTTTTTTTTTGGCGGAATTATGAGCATTTGAGGGGTATCTTAATTATTTAATTGCCTACATTGAACTGTGGGTGCAGGTGATTTTGAATGTATTTGAGTTAGAATTTTTGTTAGATTAAGAAACAGATACAACACTTTAAGTAGAACCTTGTTTGAGAGATATATATATACACACACAACTATAAATATATATATATTTTTGGTGGCATGTTTGTATCCTGGACGCGTCGTCTGTATGTTTAGCCTAAATGAGTCTGTGAGAGGTGGAAACAGAAGGCAGCAGTGGGACCTCGTGGCTAGAGCAGGCATTATCCTGGGACCTGTTCATGGCCTAGCTACTCGCTCACTGTGTGATGTGGGACAAAGTCACTTAAAAACTCTCTGTGCCTCAGTTTCCCTACCTGTAACGGGGAGTTACGCCCTGCCTCCCAGGAGCGTGGTGAGGCTCGCTGCCAAACGGGCAAGCACGGCGGAGGGCGGTGTACGTACCACACGCACACCGCTGCTGGCAGAAGTATGGACTGGTTTGTTTTCCAAAACCGTTCCCAGCCCCGCTGGTATTGTGAAGAGCAGATGTCCAAGTGTTGGGTGTTCAGGGAAGGATTGGAAAGTTGAATCTGCACATTGTCTAAGCTCTGTCACTGTTGAAATGTGAGTAGGATACGATTTTTCACAGCCTAGAGATTTCTGCATAGTAGTATCTCTGTTTTGTGTACTGGAAAAGAAAAAAAAAAAAACTTTTTGAAATAATTTCTACTAATATGGAAACAGACATCTGGTTGTGCTGATCTGAAATTTTATTTGTTCATAATAAAAACGTTACTTTAAAACTTGTTGAACTGATGACATGGCAGGCTGGGCTCGGTAAAGCATATGGCACCCTATCGGGATGGAAAACGCGACATGTTACCGTTTCCAAACCCTCCTCCCTTCCAGGAGAACCAGGGAAAAAACCTCTGGCTCTTTAAGCACCGTGAATGAACAGATTATAATGGCTTCCATACTCCCGCGCAGCCCGGGCAGCATGCCCTGCCAAGGCTGCCCCTGCGCCGTGGGGTTACTGCAGGTTAATTCCAGCCAGGGCCTCTTGCCAGAGCCTTGCGGCTGACGGATATACATGCAGCATAACACGTAATACCAGCAGCCCGTCTCCCTGGCCAGGCACGGCCGTCATGGCATCAGCCGGGCTCATTAACCTCAGCGAGGGGGAATTTTCCTCCTGCAAGAGCGATCATCCCTGCTCTCCCCACCCCTTTCACAGCTGGAGGGAAGTGAAAGGAGAAGGGGGAAATCCCCGGATAAAATCTCACTTTGATGTTGGTTTGCCCACTCCCCCACCCAACCGTCTTTCAAACATGCGATCCTAGCAGCCAATAAGGCCATCTCTGCATGGCACCAGCTTGCTCCATGTGGGAGCAGACAGAGGGGATGGCCTTGTTTGCAGCAACTTTACACCTGCAACACCCAGCAACCACTGAGCCAGCCCGTGTTCGCTGGCACAGCTGGCCCCTTGCAGCCGGCATGCTGAATTCCTCAGCAAAACTGGCCCATGCTTTGATTTCCAGCTGCAGCTTCTGCTGCTAGAAAGCCCTTTGGGTGGGAAGGCCAAAGCCAGCATGCTGCAAAATGGAACACAGGTGAGAGCACGGGACTGTGCACCTGTGGGAGGGACAAAAGGAGAAGAGGGTTATTTGGGAGGAAGGTCTGGGCTCTTCCAGCTGCCCCGTTCTCCACCCGGAGATGTGTGACGAGCCCAGGCAAGGAGGTGCGCGGCTGCCCTGAGCTGTGGGAAAAAAGCAAACAAAATGCTCTGGTCACAGCAGTACACCCCTGGAAGCAACAGAGAGGTGCTGCTTCTGATAGTCCAGTGCACTTTTGATCCCAGCTATGCCAGCACAGTCCCTCCTAAATCAAATGAAACAGAGAAGGCAAATCTTCAAACCTTCTGATTACTCAGCCAAGCCTAAAAATAAAGTTAATTATCCCTCTGTCCAGATTTCATGAGTGGAACTCAGATCTTGGCCTCTCCCTCTTCGTTAAAGGCTGTTATTAAATCCCCTGCCCAAAAATACATTGTTCTATACTGTCAAGCCCTTCAGCAGCGCCAACTCAGCATTTTGAGCTCGTTGCCTGGAAGTGTTTCACGCATGATCATTGCTCCTGATTTCCTATGTAATCCATGAGTTAGCATTGCAATAACGATGTACCCCGACTTTGCCTCTCTGAAGATCTCCCACCCGCCAGGGAAGGGGAGGGAAGGGAAGGGTTAATGCGCCTGGCAGCTCTCTGGGAAGGAGAGGACAGGCAAACAAGTGCCTGCTTGTTCAGCCCCATCCGAGGGAGCGCAGGGAGGGCTGTGGGCCAGCGCTGCTGGCTGTCAGCGGCCAGGTGGAGGGTTTGCTGCATCTTCTCACCCTGGACACAACGCGCAGGAGATGCCAGTGTGTTCTCCGGGGCGGACCCAGGTTGCAGCCACAACCCCCTCCCCGGAGCAGGGATGCAGTGACCGCAGCGGTGAGGGGCCCAGCATCCCCAGGCCAGGACCCTGGGAGCGGGACCAGGGAGGGTGCCCTGGGAAGGGCAGAGGTCCCACCTGGAGCTGCCCAGCAGCAGGGCTGGGTGCCAGCTCTGCACTGAGCCATGGGCTCCCACCAC